GTAGGTATCCTTAAAAAAAAATAGATGTCTTTTTGCCCTTTTAATGTAAAATAATACTTATAAAACAGGGGGGAAATTGCTACTCATTAATCTAAAAGTGCTAAAAATATAGCAGCAACAAAGCTATTTCATTTATGCGAAACCATCACCCCGAAAGAGGATCAACTTATTTATTCAATTTGCATTATGGCAATTGTAGTACAAAGTGTAATAACAGGTGAATGAAATACTGCATCACCACACATACTTGGGAAAAAGCATCAATACATTTGAATACATGTACTTAAAAAACGACTTCGCATAGTGCGCCACGTTATCAAGAAAATGGCGATGCTTATGTCGTGTTGAGAAACTGTTCATTTTTCCTTTATGTCTCTCTCATACACTTTGTTTGGGAATCTTATAGACGAAAGTTAGTTCTTAGTGTGAGGTTTCCTTTCAATGTTCATTTTGACGTATGACACTTTTAACACTGATGTTAACCATTTGGGGAAAGATTTGTACTCTGTAAGTTATTTAACATTAAACCCTTGTAATAAGTTCATTCGATTAAAAGCAGGAAAAATTATAGAAACAGAATGGCGAAAGTTTGACATAAATCGTATCGATAGTAGAAAAGATATAATGTTTGAATAAGAGATCACTACAGCTATGCGAATCTCACATTTTCAATGTTGTCGTTGATTGTGACATAGTGGCGGATAACTCTCCCGTTTGTCGTGTTTATTAATCTCCAATCACTCATTTGTGTGATTATATTATATTCTACCAATCGCCTTCACCTTTGGAAACCTACTCTAGATTTATTATGGATAGTATATTATTACATGTTCTCTAAAAAGAAAAGACTTTCCGAAGTCATGCATTGCTGAAATATTGACATTTTAGTCATTTTTGTGTAGGAACGGATGGGGAAGTTGTCGGCCAGAGACATCTCATTACAGAGACACCACCGAACCAGCCAATTTGAATAGCCCATACTCATAGTGATTGAAACTTTCAACAAATCATAGCTTTTTCATTTGTTTTCCTTTTTTATTCAAACTCTCACGAGTTTGCATCTCTGATTTGTTTACTTTCTTCTAGTGTAGTTTGTTATCAAAGTTGGATTTCCCTTTGAATATGCTAATTGTTACTTCTCCTGACATATGAGGCAAAAGAGAAGTAGGAAGCACGATCATTTGTTCATTTACTCTACTATTTTTTTTTTTGTGGAACATAATTTGTGTACCGAATACTGAGTTGCTGTGTGAGTTCATCTATTTAGAGCCAGAAAGGTGTCAACTCCTTTACTTTAACACAGAGTCAACGCCCTTCCGGGTCTGAACGGGTTAATCTTCTTTTTCCGTACTTGCAGGGCACTTATTATTATATCACAGCCTTACCGATATCCGCATGGTATTGGGGGTGGGGAGAGGTGGATGAGTGGAAAGTTACTGATTTACTTAGAAGAACCATACCGAAGGCATTGTCATGGATAATTGATGTTTGTCGAAGGTAGCATCGGTACAAGATGTTAAGGTCTTGCTTTTTGTGTAATCACATCGAATATGTAAGCCTGAGGGGATAGAATCAACAGAGAGTACGGATTTGGAGAAACCCTTATCAACCACTCAATAAAATTCTTTGTCCAAGAGTTTCAGAGTTACATCCAGGCTTCAGGCCAATCAACTTGATTGAGTGCCTCGTTCATCTTTTCCACCTCGTCCTCCTCCTACTAATCCTCCTCCTCCTTTTTCTTCGTGTTTGTTTTTTATTCTTCTTCTTTTTCCCTTTCTTCTTATACTTCTTGGTCTTCTTGCTCTTACTTCTTCTTATTTTTCTTTTCCTACTCATCCTACACCTTTTTCTTCTTCTTCTTCTTCTTCTTTTCCCTTTTTTCCCGCACCTTCGGTTTACTTTGATATGTATTTACATAATATATGTTCAATTTAGTTAGAAACGTCTCTATCGCTGTAGGGGGTAACTCACTGAGCGGAAAATGCTTGCGATGGTAGCGAATTTGGGGTTTCGTCGGGGTTCGTAAAAAGTTGCAAAAGGCTCGTAAAAGGTTGCCAAAAAGTTCGCAAACAATTTTCATTGTCGCAAACAGTTTTTCTCGTCGCAAACTTGCGAATTTATTTTCCCGCAAACAGTTGCAAGCGTTTGCAGCACACTCGTTAGCGTTTGTAAACGGTTATAAGACGATGTCCCTAAAGTTGTTTTTTTATTTAGACCATGTTCAAAATTTCGTTTCGACAAGAGAAACTGTATGCGACAATGAAAACTGTGTGCGAACTTTATTGCTACCTTTTAAGAACCCTGGCGGAACCCTTAATTCGTTACGTTCGCAAGCATTCGCCGATCAGTGAGATACCCCCTTAAGCTTATCGATCTGATTATTACCGAGCGATGTCGATGACCGTGGCAGTGGCATTCTCGTTTCATTTGCCCTCAAATAGACGTTAACCTTCAGCTGACTTTATATAATACTTTTTCCAAGGTATCCGTGAAGCAAGCTAACATTAAAACTACTAACATTAAAAGTCTACTGATTTTACAGCTTACTTCGAATCATCGGGTCACCGTGTCACGTCAGGTGGTCGCGTGACCCGACTTTTGTGAAAACACGCCCTTTATTTACGAAATATCAGGGGTAGTGTTTGTTAAATAAACTCCTCTCATCTACAAATGGTCTGGTCTAATTTACCTCATACTATGTGAAATCCCTACGACACATCTACGAAAGGTCGCGTCATCTTTCACTTCCGTTTCACGAATGTTGTGTTATGCTACGGTCACAAATGTTCGTACGAACGATTCGTTCGTACGAATCTCCCTGTTCCTACGAATTTCAGAGTTCGTAGAGATTCGCAGATGGGGCACATATTCTTACGTCCTTCTTACGGAGTTCGTACGAACGCCGTTTAATTCGCAAGAACAACTCAAGACCTTCTTGAGAAACGAAGTGATTTTCGGTTATACAATAGCCCCAGAGTTCGTACGTTTTCGTAAGAACGCCTTGTGTTCTTCTAACGTCAGACGTACGCCAATCTTACGAGTTTTTGTTCTCGTAAGGTGGTCGTACGTTTAACTCACGGCATTCACAAGTCATTCGTAAGAAGAGCTTAAGAATTTGTTTCCTATTTGGTCGGTGTTTCGCTGAGCGAAATTTATTTTGTGGTTTTTTCAGCAAGTCGAAAATCTTAGAAGAGATTTTTAGAGTTCAGATTCTTTGTTTCATAAGATAAGAAAAAAGGTTCATTTTGTTAATTATAATATCAGGAAAGATAGATATTTATTCTCTTTTCAGCCTAAATGAAGCATTTAGGTATTTTATAGAAGGTGAATTGGCAATTTAAATATTTACAATGTCTGTTGTATTCATGATCGATGTTTTTTATAGTAGGATTTGAAATGGCCTTTCTTTGAGTATTTGTTTTTCAAGGATACCTTACTTTCGACTTCGATAAGTAGCGAAGCCATTTTAGTCACTTGTTCGTGTAGTCTGTCGAGCGTCAAGTCACTGGAGATGAGCTCTCCAGTTTTCCCAGTTTTCCCGTTTTTGTCCTGTTTGACAGTGACATCAGTGAGCCCAGTGTTTCGGCAGTAAATTGCTTAGTTCCGGCCAAAGAAATTGAATTTGATTCTGTGTTGTCTTCGACTCTTCGTTTGAGGAAGCTAATAAAGACGTCATAATCCCATTTCGAGTTTGGAACTTTAGCAATTTGTATCATGGTCAGCGAACCATAGCATTCAATTTCTAGAGCTATCACCAGTTCTAGCAAGATGCCAGAATCAGAAGCAACAGCACAGCTGAAGTTGAAGCGGCGGGGTGCCAAAGCTAAATTGACAAGATGTGGAAATGCAGTAGAGCAGCTCATTTCAAAGAAAGCAAGCATGGAAGCTGTTGAGGAAAGATTCCATCATCTCAAGATCGTGTATGAAGAGCTGCAAGAGAAGCACGAAAGTTATTCGGAGTTGATCTTCGATGATGATCAGTTCGAGAAGGAAGAGAAGTGGATGGAGGTCTGCGACACATCTTTCATAAACTGGCAAGTAAACGCTTCAAAGTATCTTGACGAGTTAAAGGAGAGAGGAGAACCAGAGAAAGTGGAAGCAGCGCCTTCTACTGAGAGTCCTGCAGATGCAGTCCAGTCTGGGTCTGGTCAGTCCTCTTCTCCTGAAGTAGCATCCGCTCCATACAGCTTGAGGATTGAGAAGCCGCATCTGCCCAAGTTTAGCGGAGATGTCCGGGAGTTTTTCGTTTTCCGAGACGATTTCAAACATCTGGTAGAAAGCCGATATAGTAGTAGGGATGGTATCACCATCCTACGTAGCTGCCTGCAGGGTAAGCCCCTCGACCTTATCCGGGGTATTGGAACTGATTATAATGCTGCATGGGAGCAGTTAGAGTTAATTTATGGAGATCCCAGATTCGTAGCTGATGCTATCATAGATGACATCAGCAAGTTCCGAGCACTAAAGGAGAATGAAGATAGCCGCTTCTGCGAATTAGTGCATCTGGTGAGGAGAAGTTACAACATCCTTGTAAGTGTGGGAAGGCAGCATGACATGGACAACAATCACATGTTGGCCTCTATTGAGAGGAAGTTGAGCCAAGGAGACCGCAAGGTATGGTTCAGATGCCAGGAGAAGGATGAAGATCCAGCATCACTACACATGCTCCTGGAGTGGATGGCCAACGAGATGAAGGCCAGGATGCGTGCCTCAGCCCCGCTACGTAGTGAATCCCGCCAAGGAGCTGTTGGTTTCTGTGCGCAGAAAGACACAAAGCCAGATAAGGAGCGGAAGTGGGTTCAAACACCTAGTGCCAAAGACAGGTGTTGGATCTGCCACTCATCAGACCACTGGATAGATCAGTGCAAGAGGTTTATCTCCAAACCAGCATCAGAAAGATTGCAGATTGCCAAGGAGAATCGAGCTTGTTTTAGCTGCCTTAAGCAAGCAGAGAGGGGCATTTGATGGCAACATGCAATAGACGCAGACAGTGTCCAGAGATGAGACAAGGCCAAAGGTGTAAATTCTATCACCATCCATTGCTGCACCTGGAGTGGGTACCGAGGCAAGATGATAGTTTGGAGCAAACCCAACGAGGCCAAGTGGGAGTCGCTACAGTTGTAGCTAAGGAGTCTCTTCTACCCATTGTTTTGGCAGAGGTCTTAGGATGCAATGGTGATATGAAGGAGGGAAACGTGTTGCTAGACTCTGGTGCCCAGATAAGCCTTATCCGGCAGGAGTTAGCAACAGAGCTGCAGTTAGAGGGCACACCTACAACCATTACCATTTGCAAGATTGGAGATGAGCAGGAGCTTCTGCACACTAACGTCTACAAAGTGCTAGTAAGAGGGAAAGGTGAAGGTGGCAAGGCTTTTACTGTGTCAGCCATAGGAATTCCGTGCATTAGCGAGCATGTACAGGCTATCAACTTGGACGATCTAGCAAGGAAGTTTCGCATAAAACGGAAGGATCTACATAGAAGTAGTGGACCTGTGGACATTTTGATAGGAGTTGACCACACAAGGTTTCATTGCGGTGAAACCAGGGAAGTTGGCAACTTCATTGCTAGAAAGTCGAGGATAGGATGGGTTATCTTTGGAGCAACACGTGGTGACAGAGTGCATAGCAGTGCAGTACTGCATGTAAAGTTAGCAGCACCTGTAGATTTGACGGACTTTTGGTCAGTTGAGACAGAGGGAGTGAGGCCTGAAGGATGCCAGTGTATAGAGAGCAGACTCACTAGACAAGAGGTGATAGAAGAACAGGTGATCAGGTCCTCAGCTCACAAGATTGGAAAGCAGTGGCAGATAGCCTACCCTTGGCAACGAGATCCCGAGATGTTGCCTGACAATAAGTGGCAAGCAGAGAAGGTGCTTCAGTCCACCGAGAAGAGGCTTGCCCGGAATCCTGAGCACGCTAAAGCTTATGACCAACAGATCCAGGAAATGGAGGATATGGGGTTTGCCAGGAAGCTTTCACCCCAAGAGATGGAGTGCCATGAAGGGCCAGTACATTATATCTCCCATCATGCTGTTGTGAGGGCTGAAAAAAAGAGTACTCCAATCCGGATAGTATTCAACTCATCAGCATCGTTCCAAGGCCATAGTTTAAACGAGTACTGGATGAAAGGGCCTGACCTCTTGAACAGTCTACCTGGAGTGTTGTTAAGATTCAGGGAGAAGTACATCGCCATATGTGCAGATATCTCCAAGATGTACCACAGGGTGCTCATACCGGAGAGTGACCAACATGTGCACAGGTTTCTTTGGAGAAACATGGATGTCAGTAGAAGGCCAGACGTATACATCATGAAGGTAGTAACCTTTGGAGATAAACCGGCAGCAGCAATGGCGCAGATTGCTCTCAAGATGACTGCTGAGCAGGGGGAGAGTAAATACCCAGAAGCAGCCAATGTACTCAAGAGGAATGTGTACATGGACGATATTTGTGACTCCGTGGAGACGCTTTCTAAAGCAGAGACGCTCACTGGCGATATAGATGAGGTACTTTCAAATGGTGGCTTTAAAGTGAAGGGATGGTTATCAAATAAACCATTGCATGGAGACAACAAGGAAGGAGAAATGAAGCTGCTAGAAGCCCTTGCTGAAGAGAAAGTGTTGGGTGTCGTGTGGGACAAGAAAGACGATGTGTTCTCATACAGAGTAAAGTTCCGTGAAGGAGTGATGCCTTCAGCCAATGAAGGAGAGAGCCGTCTGAAACTCACCAAGAGGAAGATTCTAAGCCAGGTAGCCCGCGTCTTTGATCCCATTGGCTTTGCAGCTCCGATCATCGCACGTGCTAAGATGGGTCTACAGAGGCTATGGCAGATGGGTCTTGGATGGGACGATCCATTACCAGAGAAAGAGCAAACTGAGTGGACTAAGTTGTTTGAGGAGATGACTTTGCTCAACAATGTCAAACTGAGGAGATGTCTTACACCACAAGATGCAAGAGGCAAGCCAGTTCTGTGCATTTTCAGTGATGCTTCAGAAAGTGCATATGGTACATGTGCGTACCTTAGATGGCGGACTGATGACAATAAGTATGAGGTGCGGTTTGTGGCAGCTAAGTCAAAGGTAGCACCACTCAAGACTTTGACGATGCCTCGTCTCGAACTTCAAGCAGCAGTAGTAGCCGCGAGACTTTACAAGGCAATCAGCGAGGAGATAAGGCTGGAGATAGAGAAGGTGGTTTTCTTCGTTGACAGCATGATTGTTTTCCACTGGATCAAGTCGCCTGCGAGAAGCTTCAAGGCGTTTGTGTCAAGCAGAGTGGGGGAAATTCAGAGTTTAACAGATCCCTCACAGTGGAAGCACATCCCAGGAACAATGAATGCCGCTGATGATGTGTCAAGAGGAGTAACTGTTGACAAACTGGCTGAAGTGTGGAAGCATGGCCCTAGCTTTCTCTACACTGATGAATCAGAATGGCCAGTAGATGAGCCCGAGGCAGATCAGCGGGCTGTTGATAGTGAGCAGAGGAAGTCTCCGGCAGTATTCTCAGTACATGAGACAAGTGAATTGCTAGAGTGCAAGAAGTTCTCTAAATGGAGAAAATTACTGAGAGTGACAGCCTACGTGATGAGATTTGTTAATATCTTGAAGTCCAGAATCCATAAGGGGCCTCTACCCGACGAGAAGACGACTCTAACTACCACTGAGTTAGAGAGAGCTGAGATGTATTGGATAAAGGTAGCCCAGGAGAGAATCAAGCCACACTTCAAGAAGGGAGACTTCAAGGTGCTCACTCCTTTCATCGATGAGGAAGGGGTGATCAGAGTTGGTGGTAGAGTGGGAAACATGGACATATCATATGAAGCTAAGCATCCTGTTCTACTCCCATATGACCATGGTATTTCACTTCTGATCACTAGGTACATGCATGAATCAGGTCACCATGGTGTAGCAGCGACGACAGCCAGGACAAGAAAGAGGTTCTGGATCCTGAAGGGACACCGGCTTGCTAAGTCGGTAAAGCACCGCTGCGTGGTATGCAGAGCAGCAGCATGCCAGGCAGAGATACAGCAGATGGCCAGCCTACCAAGCATCCGAGTAGCTCCGTTCACGCCGCCGTTTCATTTTACGTCGTGTGATTACTTCGGCCCATATCACGTGAAAGTTAGTCGAAACAAGAAAGCGAAGCACTATGGCGTGATTTTTACTTGTTTGAATACAAGAGCGGTTCACCTTGAGCTAGCAGTAGATTGTTCAACGCAAGAGTTTCTGCAGGTTCTCAGAAGGTTTTTCGCGATTAGAGGTCACCCTAAGGTCATCATGAGCGACAACGGTACTCAGTTTGTGGGTGCCAAGCGTGAGTTACGAGAGATGGTGAAAGGGTGGGATGATGTGCAGCTTCGAGATTTTTGTGCAGAGATAGGAGTTGAATGGCAGTTCACCACGCCATTAGCTCCACATCAGAATGGATGTGCCGAGGCACTTGTTAAAAGTTGTAAGTTTGCTCTACACAAAGCAGTAGGTAGTCAGTGTTTAACACCCTTTGAGCTGTACACATGTTTAGTTGAGATAGCAAACCTAGTAAACCAGCGACCCATTGGTAGGATACCGAATGATCCAGATGATGGAAGTTATGTCAGTCCTAATGATATGTTGTTAGGAAGAGCGTCGCGAAGCGTACCCCAAGGTCCGTTTAGGGAGACAGAGAATCCGCGTCATCGCGTCGAGTTCGTACAGCGTATAGTAGATTCGTTCTGGAGACGCTGGTCTCGAGATGTTCTTCCGCTCCTCGTGCCTAGCAAGAAGTGGAACACAGAGCGTCGTAATGTACGCGTGGGGGACGTCGTCATGACCGCAGAAGCAAACGCGGTACGTGGAAAGTGGACAATTGCCAGGGTGATACAAGTGTATCCTGGTGCTGATGGTAGAGTTAGGAACGTACAGTTGAAAACAGCGGTGGGCATATATCGCAGACCAGTTACGAAGATAGCGGTTATTTATCCCACTGAAGGCTACGATGAGAGCGTATAGGATTTATAGACAACTCTGAAAAGGACTTGAACAGAAACTAGAGTAAAACTTCAGTAAAAGTTTTCTATGTATTTGTCTATGTTAATATAATTAAGTCTTGAATTGAGACTAAGGTATATGAGGAAAAGTCCTCATCCGGGGGGAGGATGTTTCGCTGAGCGAAATTTATTTTGTGGTTTTTTCAGCAAGTCGAAAATCTTAGAAGAGATTTTTAGAGTTCAGATTCTTTGTTTCATAAGATAAGAAAAAAGGTTCATTTTGTTAATTATAATATCAGGAAAGATAGATATTTATTCTCTTTTCAGCCTAAATGAAGCATTTAGGTATTTTATAGAAGGTGAATTGGCAATTTAAATATTTACAATGTCTGTTGTATTCATGATCGATGTTTTTTATAGTAGGATTTGAAATGGCCTTTCTTTGAGTATTTGTTTTTCAAGGATACATTACTTTCGACTTCGATAAGTAGCGAAGCCATTTTAGTCACTTGTTCGTGTAGTCTGTCGAGCGTCAAGTCACTGGAGATGAGCTCTCCAGTTTTCCCAGTTTTCCCGTTTTTGTCCTGTTTGACAGTGACATCAGTGAGCCCAGTGTTTCGGCAGTAAATTGCTTAGTTCCGGCCAAAGAAATTGAATTTGATTCTGTGTTGTCTTCGACTCTTCGTTTGAGGAAGCTAATAAAGACGTCATAATCCCATTTCGAGTTTGGAACTTTAGCAATTTGTATCATGGTCAGCGAACCAGTCGGGTTGCAAAAAAAGCGCTGCCGTATACTGTCGAAAATTCTATGACTGTTGAAAGTTCGATATTACACGATGACAGTATTGCCAAGAAGACTACAACTGCAACTGCAACTCCGTAAAGTGTTTCTTGAACTTGCTGTTAGAATATCTGTTACTTCCTTTATTATAAAAGCAGTCATGTTAACCGAAGAAGTCAACAAGTTTTTGCTCTGTGGTGGCATCAAAGTCATAGGACTACTTCTCCTTTCTCAGTTTCCCCGTTACCTCATCTTCATCGCCGTCAAACTGCCGTCTTGATGGTTCTCCCTCCTCGTCGTCGTCGTCATCTTCCACCGCCTCCTCCCGGTCGCTTCCGATATGGCCATCATTTCTTGATATCAGGCGCGCCGAAATCAGTTTGGGATTGGGTGGCAAAAAATCCAGGGGGCTCACCTTCCAGGGACAGTGGCGTAATGAGCAAAATCGTTTGAAGGAGGGGGGGCAGAAGGAAAATTTGCATCACCACCACTCCTAGGCTTACATGTTACATGCAGGCCCCATGGAACATTTTTCAAAGTGGAGTATTAACGATCAGGTTAGAGTGTAGCGAGCGTAGCGTAAATTGGCGTGGGGTCCGGGGGCTTTGCACCGGCGGGGGTCAAGGGACTAAGCCCCCGGAAGGTCATGGTTTTTAGGCATTAAACTGCGGTCAGATAAGCATATTTAGATACCTTATTTGTGTCACTGGCAGGTCACTAATTGTCGGGGATTCCACGGAGCAGAGCCCACGAATGCTCAGGGGTTATAGGTATTCAATTACGGTCAGATGAGCATCCAGGGGGTCCACCATAGGGCCCTTGGTGGGGTCCAGGGGGCAGAGCCCCTGGAAGCTCAAAGGTTTTCGGCATCTAATTACGGTCAGATGAGCATATTTTGATATCTCATTTGTGACATTGGTAGGTCACACATTTTGTTCTTTCTCTTTCTTTCCTTTCCTCTTTTTTTAAAAAGTGAGGGGGGGCTCGAGCCCCGAGCCCCCGCCGTTCTGCAGGCCCTTACATGAATTTGGGAATTAGTAATTTTCAAACAAACGCATAAAAAAATATGATTTACCAAAATATTGAGAAAAAATACCGGAAAATCATGTCATTTCAGCAACATTTGTAAATCACTGGTATCGATTTAGAAATACCCCCCGCCCATTAGTACGCCAGTGTTCAGGGGCTCATGTCTTCTCACCACTATAATATTTTAAAAAAAAAACACTTTCCCATCCTCTTACAATATTTCCACGATATGCGCAAATCGCATATATTATAAAAACAACCATTGATAAAATATAGGAGCAAGCGGAATGTATACGAAATTTAATCCCTATTAACTTTCCTTTTCTTTGAATGGAATATAATTTAATTTAATTTAATTAAATTAAGTTTGGTTAAAAAATACAAACCATCTATACTCCTTTACTGCTTTTTTATAGGGTTGGGAGGGGGTGAATGCCCCCACTTCCGGCGCCTCTGCTTGATATTGCTGTTGCCGCTCTCCTCCTCTTTCTCTTTCCTCCTCATCTCTTTCCTCTAACAGATTTCTCCTTTGGTCCCATATTTCTTCGACAGGAGATGCACCCTCGACGAACACTATGAACAGAGTGAGGCTTTATAACCGTTAAAACTCAAAATTTGCATAAATTGTGTACGTACACCTTACGAGCACCTTACGAACTTCTTACGAACGCCAGGAGTCATTCGTATGAAGACCACAAGAATCTCCGCTCGTAAGGCGTTCTTACGAAAGCCGTAAGAGCCCTCTATGAACAACTTGAGGCGTTCTTACGGTCATCGTAATAATTTGAAGCTTCTAAAATTGTCCCTCGACCCTACGAAATGTACGAAGATCTTGCGTGGTTCTTACGATGTAATTACGCGTTCGTACTGCCGCCTTACGAAGAGAGGGTTTCGTACGATGTTAAAAAAAATCTTGGACAAGACCATCGACCAATCTGCGTTCTTACGAACGGTCTACGAACGGTCTACGAGCGCTTGTTTCGTACGGCCGCCTTAAGAAGATCTCACGAAATGATCTGAAAATCGTTCGTACGGCGTTCGTAGCAGACCGTAAGGGTATTTGTGACCAAGGCATAACCCGACAACCCGACCGGACGGGATGGCCCGGTGGTTGGAAGTAACCCGTTTTATGAAGCGCGAAATATCAAGCTAAATTGTATAAAAATTACCTAAATCGATTTAACAAAACAAAAATTATGAAATACTTTTACGGAGTAGAAAATGTTTTCAATCTTTACTTTGTACAAAAAACCGTGATTAACAATATTAAAAATGTTAAGAAAAACAATTCAATCCAGTTTTGGTATGAATCCAGTAAGCACAAAGAAAATTGGAATTTAATTATCATAACATGATTTTCGTGATTTTGCCGCCATTATTTATTTCATTGCAACTATTATGCAAAAGATATTTGCATGGTTATAAGTTCGTTACTGAAAATGGCGAGTGGTTTTAACCCATTTACTTTTGGAACCTGGTGGCCCCTGTATAAACCTTATGGAAATGAATAAATTCAATAGTCAACGGGTATACTAAGCTTTTATCGGAGCAATGAAACATACATGGAGGCGTTAAATCTCGCCATAGTACTTAAATTGGGAAACGGAATTCTGCTTCGTACTTTGGAGGAACACAAATGAAGTAAAGAAGAGATTTTGTTTAATTATAAGTCTCGTCAAGGGCCAGAAGATTGGTTTGAACTTTGTAGTAGTGTTTATAAAAGAAAATATAACCCTCACTAGAGCATCTAATGAGAAACATTATTGTGATTTCGAACTAATATTTGCATGGTTTGTCGAGATTGTAAAATAGCGAGGAGCTTTTATAGTCCCAAGGTTGTGTAAATGGTATACTGTTACCACAGAAGTAAATACTATAGCTGAATTTAAAAAAGTAATAAACCATTACTGATGTGCACTTAAAAACAAAGTCCATCGCCAATATGCACCACCTCAGTATCATTTGAGTTATCAATATATCCCTGTATATACCAGAGCAATGGAACATACATGGAAGCATTAACATCTTGACACAGTTTTTAAAATTGGCCAGAGGAATTATGCGTCTTACTTTGAAGAGAAAGAAAAGAAATTAGATAAACAGGAAAAGGTGGCAGGAAAATATTTCTTGAACTTCAAATTTTTCGTAACCGCCTATTCCGACGAAAAATAGCACATTATTGTAAAGAGGTTCATCAGGAATTGAACAGATTTTAAACAAAGAGTTTTATATTTTATGAGAAAAGAATTTAACAGTTAATGAGCGAAGAAATTGCAGTAGGTGGTGGGGTCCCTTTGCATTTTAACGGATGGTTAATTTATTTTGAAAGTAAAGAGGCCCACCAATTTAGCAGCCATCTGCATCGAGCTGAACCTTCTAAAACTCATGTTACGTATTTTCCAACCCATGAAGGTCTTGAATGACAACACTTGAGGGGAAAGAAAATAAGCTTAGATTGCTCGTCACTAGTCAATGTCACAGGGCCTTCACTTTCACCTAGCACCTGCCCGGTGGACTAAAAGCATGGCTCATGGCATAAAAACAGAACATATATATATTCTTGTCTTTCCATTTGCTTCCCGTTTTTTGCTGAGATCAATATCGTTTAGTTGGGCGTTGAAGTTCTTGTAAAATAGAGAATAGAGAATGTGAAATGTCAATCTTGCTTAAGGATTGAGAAAAAGGACCATTTATATGTACGTTTGACCTTTTTGATAAGCCTTTCATGAAGGGAAAACAGCTCTTAGCCCGTGACTTACAACGGTTTCTCATAACAGCGATTTTATGGTCCGACATTGATTTAAAGACCCATCTCTCTCCAAACCAAAACTTAACAAGACAGGATCTGTCTCTTTTTTAAACCACCAATTAGAGCAATAAATATATTTGGGCGGCGATGTTACTTTTTCTTAGCAATATCTATTTTGTATACATTAGGACAAAAATCACATTAACATGTTTTACAGATAAACATTGCACAAACATACTGGTGGATGTAGCTTTAATAAAGAGTCCCTCTTTGTTGGCTTACTTTGCCCTCTATGAGAATTCAGAATCCAGAAGTAGGTATTCGGGCATGAGACGTCAACCTCCTGGCGAAGTGTTCCCGTACGGCAAAGTCTAGTGGGTGTCGGATGTTTGATTCCAAGTGCACTGGTGTATCATCGTAGCATAATCATAATCATAAATATGGTTCAATTCCTGTCATGTCA